TAAATTTTGCCTTCCAGTCAGCACTTTGCTGTCAACGACTGGTTGTTTTCTTTCTTGACTCATATACGATAAGGCTATATTGAGAGTGCGTCCACGTGCGTTTCAGCGGTCTCACGTCATGTCTCGTCCCACCCCCGCGCCTAGACTCTGTTATATGTCCCTTGGGGAAAATCCTCGCGCCAGCTGGAAACACCTGATATAGACGGCTGCCGCTACCGTATTGTACCAGCAGCTTTCATGAATCCGCCGTGCGGAAGCTTACACATAGCAGATGAATGAGGGGGCTAGACGCTGGCGATGGGGACGTAAATTGCGTACCGACTAGCAGGCCACTTTTGAGTCCGCGGGGGTTGAAAGCCGACGGTCTAGTACCATGATATACTGAAATGATTTCTGATCTCAGCAGCCACTTAGAGCTCGTAATTCGCAGTTGTATAATTTGATCGAAGACACTGTTGGTTTCATAATGCCCAGGTCAATAGTAACGGCGACAGCCTGCAGTTCAATGCGAAGATCAAGCTTGGTGCGGGGAGCACTGTTACGCACCAAAACAGAAGAACTAGCAGGGGCAATGGTGTGCAATCTCACGTAATTTTTCAACATACGATATCATTTGATTACTTGATCGGTATCAGGCGATAACTTCGTTGTCTGCAAGAATGCTACCGCCGGTTTTGTTGCGGAACAAAAGCTGTTGCAGATCGGTCACAGTGGCTCCAAGACCACGAATGCTACAATGCAAAATTGAGCATGACGTGGTGGCTGCTAGTAGTTTGCAGGAAAATGTCTAGGTTTTGAAAATGGATCTCGGCTCGGATCCTTGATCCGAACGGCTGACCTTTCCGACGCACAGCCTCGGCAGATCCGGACCGAACCTTTCTTCGGACCCTCGGGCTCCCACCACCAGTGGGAAATACTGGCTGCAGCGGGGCCCGTTTTCGCCACGGCCCTGGGCGGAAATGATATCTCGTTCGGAGTACGTGCGTGATATCTCGTTCAGGGAGCCGCGGCGGTGGGGTCGGAGCGGGCCCATTCCACCCAACGCGGAGGCGCAACCACCAGTGGATGAGTCGCTGAAAGTGGCGGAGCACAGGGTCACAGGTGCTCAGAACGGCGGCGCGTCACCACACACCCAAGTCCAAAACGTGAGCTCGGTGCACAAGCTTGCTCCTAGCAGGCGCTGTAACAGGGGCATGAAGGCTAACCAATGCACTCTCTCCAGTACAAGGGGTGCCTTCAGTTCCCTTGCAAGTGTTTAAGAGGGCCAATTCACCTTCCACCGCAGGCCGCCCCGGAGGCTCCTCTGCCCGGCAAGGCACAGTGGTAAAGGAGGCCACCCAGCTGTCATTGGGCCGTTGCTCGGGAGCGAACGGTGGAGAAGGCTGCCCAGCTGCCACTAGGCCGTCGCTCGGGAGCGAGCAGCGGAAGAGGCTGCCAGCTGCCGGTGGGCCGTCGCTCGGGAGCGAACAGTGGGAGAGGCTGCCAGCTGCCGGTAGGCCGTCGTTCGGTAGCGAGAAATGGAGGAGCTGTCACTGGGCCGTCGCTCGGGAGCGAGCGGTGGAGCAGGCTGCCCGGCTGCCATTGGGCCGTCGCTCGGAAGAGGTTGCGAGGAGGCGGGGCGCGGAATGCGCCGGAGGAGCCTGCAAACCGAGGACACGCTGCACCAGGGCAGCCTGCAAACCCAGGCCACGCTGAACAAGGGTTCATCCTTTCTCTTGGGTTCTCCAGAAGGAGACGGAGAGGATCTCCCTGGGGGACCAACCAGTCGAAGAGGCCCCAGGCCTTTGAGACGGACGGAGTTTCACCGCGCTCCAGATGGCAGCTGCGTGCTGACCTGTCAACTTTTTCCACGGGTGGAAGCCTCCGGGGCCAGTACGGAAGTGATTAGTTTGGTAACATAACCGACAGCCGTGCTTTCAAGGCGTCAAGGTCATACGATGACAGCACCTAACCAGCATCGGGTTGTGTGACCCTGGGCCTCACGGAGGAAGCAAGAACATCACGGTAGCTCTTCGTTATATAAGATACCTTGTGCCAGCATCGAGCGTCTCCAGAGGAAATTCCTTCTCTCACATTCATTTCCGTAACTTATTTTTGTGCAAGAGACATCCGACGCTTCCTAAAGGTAGCAGCATGGCCCTCACCACACTTGGTGTATTTCGGGTGCTTAGGGACGCTGTCTCGAGACTGGTGCTTGAGGATGCATGTCTGGTGGACTGAAGGCTTCTCTGACGCCTATTAGTTTTGTGACCGAAGTCTTGTCATCGGAAGCAAGAGACTGGACCTATAACGGACTGGGATGTAGAGCCTGACTGGAATACGACAACCAACTGACACCTTTGGCGGCAGAGCAGGGACGTTGAAAGTTAGTGCGTTAGCATCTGTATGGATGGGTCGGCCGCTCTCCCTCCCTCCTACTGATGCTTCTAGCGAAGATCACTAAGATATTTGATCTGAAGGTCCGTGCCTCTCTAGTTCCTCCCCGACCTCTTCAGACACTCGTTGGAATTGCCAGCACAGTCCTAGCACCTTTCGAAGAGCTATAGATGAATGTGGTTTCATGGTGATAGTCGCGATGACGATGGCCTTGCTTCTCAAGCGCTAGGTCAGCTCCTTGGCAACTAATAAACGTCCTGGCGACTCGCCAGGACATCTCAGTGGCTCGGGCAATAGACTCCGATGTAACAGTCAGCGCTCCTACGAGCCCTCTTGGGATTGCCACATTTAGGGAACGCCTTCTCACGCTGGAATGAAGTCAGGTTGAGTAGTGGCGGCTTCTCATGGGCGGCTTTGCACCGAAGTCAAACTTGGGACACTGAACAGTCAGGTACTGAGGCGGTAGTGCGTCAGATCAGGTTAAAATCTGCGCAGGGCTGCGATGTTCAGCAGGTGGCTCAAACACTGGCAGTCCTAGCCTGGTCTCCTGCGTGGGCTTTGATGTTCGCGTCGGGGAGGTCGTTAGAGTGGTCGGTTGAGAGATTATCCACGCGCAAAATTTACGCCAGCACCGGGGCCTCCCATCCACCTCGGAGCCCAGCAGGGGACGGCCCAACAGCCCTTCGAGAGGCGGTCGCCGCCAAAGCTATCCGGTTGCTGTGCGGGGTGAACGACACCTCCAATACGGTCAGGTGCAACAGGGAGACCCTTCGTCCCTTCCACTAAATATGGACCGTGAGCAAGGGGGCTCGGCGACCCAGACAAAACGGGGGTGAGGAGTGGCGAGAGGACGGGATGCGGGTGACAGCGAGGGGGTGGGCGGGACAAGGAGCAGGAGCTTGCGTACCGGCAGGGTCGTTAGGCCTTGAAATAAACAGCTTGCGCTGTCTACCCGTTAGCGGATGTGCGTATGTGCGTGCATGTGTGCGCGTGCGCGTCTGTCCGTGCGTGCGTACGTGCGTGCGTGTGCATGCGTGTCCGTGCGTGCGAGCGTGTCTGTTTCTTCTCACTGGTGCTTCGTGACGACTCGGCCTTGGCGCATTATCTGGCTGATGGTGCGACCCGCCCTCAGGCGGACAGGACCATGGCGCCGTCACTACGGGCGTCCGATACTGAGCCTGGCCACTGGCGCGGTCCGCACGCCGGCCGGCTGCCAACGCCGGCGGCGGGCGTCATTGTCTTGGTATAACCTTGGATTCATGGAGGTGTGGATTTTTTCACGGGGAATTTCATACACTGTGTGCTGTTTTCCGTGTTTAGAGCATTTGGGTACTGGAGCAATTAAGCTTCTAAAGACCCGAGGCACGAATGCCTGATAAGGATCATATTTTCAGTGTCTGTGGCATGCACAATGTCGTTAACCCATAACGCGGCTGCTCGATGCGCTGTTTCCCAGCCAGTGTATGGTGGAATAAAGGAGCACATGATATCAACTTCAGGTAATTAACCATCCCCCAGACTAAGACTAGAAACCCTGGGTCTCCAGGCGTACATTTCCAAATGACGCGTACAACTTTCGTACAACGCACGACATACAGGGGATAAAGAGGAAATACCCGTTAGGTCCTTGTCGTCATCGCTTTACCTCAGTCGCCCTCAGACCACCGGTTATGTCAAACAGAACACAGACAATCTGTAGGCTGATGACGGTACAGCAAATAGGACGCCATCCCTCATTACGTTTGCCAGCACATGATCAATTACTTCTCTTCCGACGCACATTTGCGCACGCTAGCGGCAAGCGTGCCAGCACAGCTGCTGTGCTGGCACACCGTGCGTCTGCGGCCTCCAGCATCTCCCGTAACAAAATACATCCTCTAACACACGCCCTGTTGACGTCCGCAGTGGCTGGTGGAGGACGGAGACCTTCACAGCCGCGGCCTTGAACTCCAGGTATGGAAGACGGTTCCTTTTCAGCTATTTGGTCGCATGCGTCTACTGGAGGGCGCTGCCGAACTCCCGACGTTGGCGTCTGGCCGCGGGCCGGTACTGTCAAGGACGCCGGCACCATCGCTGGTGTAGCGAGGAGTGGGAGAAGGCTTGACAACGTCCGTGGGGGAATTAGCGATGGTTTTACAGTGTTGACGGAGTCCGACATTCGGGACGAAGAGGTTCATCAGTACACCAGTGACCGCGCTAGCGCTGTGGTGAGTTCGTTGGCGTGGTGACGAATAAACAGCGCAGGTAGCACCACATACGGTACACCGTGAGACACCATGTACGTGCGACGCGAGAAATCAGAACAGTTAAACCACCCCTGCATAAGAAGCGTACAACAAATCCACAGACGCATGACCACTGGGTATCATCATCTGTGAGGAGGCTAACAATGGTTTGCTTTTTCAAGTCAGTCCGAACAAGGAACAGGGGGCCATTAAAACCTACATGCACGCACATCATGCATATATTCTTGTTTACGTATCTCTGTTTACAGCGCGGCCATACACATTCTCAGCGCGCCTGACGCGGGTGGCCCATCCGCCGCCGCTGCCGCCGCCGCCCATCCCTCCGCTGGGCCACGCTAAAACGGCGGCGGTGGCGGCGGCGACGGCCATTACGTGTGAGAGCCGGGAGGGAACGCGCTGCGGACGGACGTCAGAGACGCGGCTCGGGACACGGGCGGACCCGGCACGCGCCATGCTGAGCCTGCTGCTGTTCGCCGCGCTCCTGGTGGCCGTGCTGGTGCGCGTCTTCCTCGAGAGCAGGAAGAACTACCCGCCGGGTGAGTGGCGCCGGCGCTCTCGCGCCAGGAAGCCGACCACACAGTCGACGATTGTTGAGACGGGCCCAGAGGCTCCCCGTTCATGACTAGCAGCTTCCATGGCTCATATGCCAATGCTTGCTTTTTTCGGCTTTACGTGACAACACGTCAAAGTTTCGAGCGATTTTCCCAGGTGATCCCTTGACAAACCCCCGGGTGGTTGGTTGAATACGACGCTATCGGGTGGGGGTCAATTTTACTCCCTCCCCCTGTAGTATATAAGAGTTTGGAGGCCATATGCACAGTGTATGAAGGACCCTATGCAAACTCCTTTGAATACCTGGTTTTTACAGGCCTAGGTCATTGTTGAGGTCTACGCTTTGCCGTTATAGGTTTTCGACATTTTTGTCAATTGAGGTCAAACAAGATTAAATTCCAAATCATTGTAGGGTGTGGCCTCGGGCGTTCTAACGTAACCAGATGTAGCTCAGATACATCTTCAAGTAGGAAGTCAGTCAGGGTTGTTTCAGCCCAGTCTCCTCCCGTGATCTCTATAGCGTCAAAGTGAAAAGAAATGGAGATCGTGCTGGTATTTGAATCTAAAGTCAGCGCTGAGAAATACCATTGAAAACAGCTTCTTTAAGGCAAAAAGCTTATCAAGATCATGTTAGGTCAGTGAACTTCTTCGGCATTCAAAATCAATGCAAGGAAGTTTGCCACGTCTTGGTGATTGAGGAATTAAAAATAACCGCAAATATCTAGCCCATTAAACACATTGTAAAGCCATGAAGCTAATTAGCTTTGACCTGACCTTGCGTCTATAACTGACCCAAGGTGAATGTAATTAGTTATAATCCTTATTTTGATTGTGTAATCGTACAAAAACAATGAAAATCGTGTGTCATTTCGTCTGCAACTCTGTTGTCGCATTACATTAAATGCTACCCCTAGCACTGTCTCTGCTGGTGTGTATGGCCTGATTTTGATCCGCTACATGCCAGCAGCCTGCAAAGATATGCTATGTTTTGTTTTCACAGGATCTTCTATGAAATTGTCTTTAGGTGTAACCACGCCGCACCGTTTGGAAGTTATTTTATAAACCGTAGAAAGAGTCAACTTAACTCCCACCGAGCTCAGAGATGCATGTTAGCAGAACAAGATAAAAGTGCATGTTTTCGGAACATATACAACGTTGGGTAATTTTTCATTGCACTCATGTGTGCATGGAATTTATTTTTTTGGCATCCAGATGAAGCTATCTGAATTCCTTTCCAATCACGACCGCCACATAACTCTTCATATTGTTGTGTGACGCATTAAATATTTATTGTTACATATCAGTTGCATAGTCCGTATTTTGTCTGACCTTATGAGGAAAATGTAAGCATTTACCCCACGTCATTTCCGCGGCTTACATTTCTTTCATCGTTGATCTAGTTCATGCCCTGCACTTCAGGGATATTTAACATTCGCCATCACGCGAATCGAGACAAAGCATTTCTGGGCTGTTCTGCAGGTCCGTTCAACATCCCGTTCCTGGGCAGCCTGCAGCAAGGAAGGCTCATAAACACCGTGGTGCACGATGAGATGAAGAAGTTAAGCGATCAGTACGGCAATCTCGTATTCCTCAAGATACTCATGGACCAGCCGGTGCTCATTATTCGAGGGTACGACCTGGTGAAGGTAAGCTCATGGAAGTCCGCATTCATTTCAAGGTCCTGCCTAGAAACAGCTTCATCTTACATGATCTCAGAACAAGCAGGAAATTCAGTTTGTAAAAAGCAGGGCTTCAATCAATATACCACGACCAAATGAAGCGGTGTCATTGTTATGCTTATTCATGGGTCGTTAAACACTAGAACACGGCCCCATCGATAACACCAGTCCCTAGGTTGGGTGCGGCGCGCCTTGACCGGAGCGTCCGCCAGACATCCGTCGGAGAACGTCCGCAGGCTCGCGCCGGCGGGCCGTGGTACGTGATGCTGTATGGAAGCGTCTGTTACGCTCAAGTGGACCGCATTTTGTCCTATCACCACCGCTCATGGCCTAACGCGCGTCCGTCCGGGTCTTATGGGTCTTTTGATATATCTCTCGGTGGGGAAAGCGAGAAAAGCAGTGGCCCGTGGGCAAAACACTCCGAAGTACATAAGTTATCAACATTCGAGATTTATCGGCCCAGCCTTCACGTGGCCTTGATCTTGACCTTGAACGTCACACTCGCAGATCCGCGGAACTGCGTAGCTTGGGGAACTTGAAATAACAGACAGATTCAGGCTCATTGTCGCACTCAATGTCACTGCATGCGAATATCTCGTAACGCTTTGGAGACAAACATGGCAACATATGTGGAATGATATGCTCGATGTTCAACGGTAATTGAGGCTCACATCGCTTCTCGGAATAAAGCAGCGTGTTTTTTAAGCCCAATACACAAGACTTTCTCGGACCGCCATATACCAATCAGTATGGGAAAACAGCGGCATTATATCATCTTGCCCTTGAAAAAAAATGAGTAGGATCTCATATCGACGCCGGCGTTTGCAGTGAGCCAGATGGTGCTGATCGATGATTGATGGGCGAGCCAGCTGAGCGTTCGACGGGTCAGCTGAGCATGGGGAATGGGGAATCATCGTTGCGGTAACAAGAAAAGGGATGGGTATAGGAGTAGGACTAGGGGTAGGGGTAGGGGTAGGGGTAGGGATAGGGTATGAGTAGGGGTATGAGTAGGTGTGGGAACGGGAGTAGGGGTTGGAATACGGATAAGCGTAGGGACAGCAATAGGAGTAGGAGTAGGTGTAGGAGTAGGGGTAGGGGCAGGGAAGGGGGTAGGTTACGTTAAGTTAGATCAGATTAGCACGCGCCCGGGTGGTGGTTCAAATTGACACCCCCCTCCGAGGGTTTTCTGGAATGGTTACTGAACGACCCCGCGCAGCCGCACCAAAATTTGTGCAACTGTAGACAATTGAAAGGCGGGTCGTGTAGTATTAAAAAGATAGATGTATCTGGTAAGGTCGCTGACCTACGGCAAGTCAAAGTCAGGCCATGGATTTGGCGAAGTCAATTTTTAGGGAATCGTTCAATCTGGTGCAACAACGGAGTGTTAGACTGAGCCATACATCTCCGAGATGCTTTCTCAGGGAACACAACAATTGAATGACCAAATCCCATTGACCTAGGATCAGTTATAAAGGTCAGGCCAAGATCAAGACCAGCCTGTTTTATTGCTCTAGGGCTGGGGGTATGGGGCAGTTTCTGGTGCCCGTTTCCAACTGACTCATAAAAGGAATCGCATTAACACCTTCATTGGACTCCTTAAAGAAGAAAATATGTAATCGACCCAAAATGACTCAAGTCAAGATATATTTGTTAGGGGCATACAGCCTGGCGTAATCTTGGTCGATTATTCAAATACACGACTCAAAGCAGTCTGGTATGATTTTGATCACCATGACCTTCGAAAGGTAAAACAAGGTCACTGAGTCACTGAATAAGCATGTGAACTTTTACTTAGAACAGGTATCTAGGTTCTGGAGGTACTTTGGAAACCACCCTGGAGTGCGACCTTGTTTGGCCTAATTTGACCCAAAGGTCATGGCCTAGGAACCTCAAACTTTGAACTGAGCGAGTTTACGTACAGGCCAACACAACCTGGGAATGCGGTGTTTCTAGCCCACTTAGTTCCTAAGATCTCAACAGAGATAAATTAATCCCCACCCGGGAGGAAGGTATCCAACCGGCCACTCGGGCGTGTGTTATGGTAAGTTATAGGTGAGGTCAGGCTAGGTCAGGTAGGGTCATGTCAGGTTAGGTTTGGTTAGGAAAACCCCGGAAAATTGGTGGCTTTTTTAGGACAGAAACATCTTTGGTTATTACGGTGCTCAGTAAAAAATATTCTGGTGTCATTGCACGTTATATATGGTGTAGTCCCGACAGCAACCGTTTGGTAGATGTATAGCGTATTACTGGTATTGTTTTGTCATAATTATCATGCAATAGTTTGGGGAAATTAGGCGTGGTATATTGCGGCAAGAGCGTGCAGATTGTAAAGCATATCTTATGTAATTACCCTTGAAAATTTTGCCTGTAGGTTTTTTCTTCAATCACGACCCGATGTTCTCCTTGAAATATTCCAATTTTTTTAATATTAATGCTGCGGATGAAATTGGCATTTGCGCTCATTTCCAAACGGTTACTGTTTTAAGAGGTGAACGTAGGACAGAGCGAGTATAATACCGAGACCGCTCGCACTTTGCTTTCTCAAACAGATTCTTTGGAAAACGATCGAAATCTGCAGAATTAAAACGCCATTTTCCGTTGCCCACCGGGACAGCTGCACCACCAAGGTGACGGGTAGCGATTGGCTCACCGCTCGGTGTGCTCTCTGCGGAAAGCTACATGACACGCATCAAATTCATGACGATGAACAGCATGAATGCCAAACCCTACATCTCCTGTAGATATGTTTATGACGCATTTGTGGACACTCAAAGTGAGCAACACTTCCTCTCTATGTGAGCCAAACTTGAGGACCACTCAGTGTACTGTTGCTTAGTTCAGTCTTGTGGAGTCCGCAGTCTCCGTATAGGCATTGACACTCGTAGACTATATTGATGCTTTTTGGGTTTAAGGATATGGTGGAGAAGTGGTTTTGCTACCTGAACCTGATCTCCTATGTGTACTTTATATGGAATATTCCATATTTGAAGGTATTGAAGCAAGCATCAGATGTGATGAACTAACCTTACCTCAAACTATTTGTATACTTTTAAGTGAAAGGCTGCTGCAGACGACTCAATTTTTCTGCTGGATAGATATGCTCCTCAATACGTCATTGTTTGACTATGTCATTGTACCTTGCAAAACATTTATTGGGAGCCAGTGGACGGCTGCTATATCTGGAAGTTATGCTTGCTAACGCCAGATATGACTGACTCGATAATCATATTTTTCCTGGCGTTGATCACCACACGAACTGTAAATGGCAGCACTTGAATAACGCTAGTTTAACGTCATGAATGTCTGTGTGACCTTGAAATAGTCTCCGCAACATCCTTGCGGGCGTGTAGCTCAGCAACTAGAAGGGCTTAGTTCTTAAGAACGGCTGGGCCGTGAAATGCACCGAATGATCTTCAAGATGATTATTGCTGTTCAACCCCCCCCCCCCCCCCACACACACAAATGTGGAACACTCTCTATAACTGTTGGTGCTCGTTCAAAACATCTCGTGGAGAATGTATTATATTTTATGATACTTTCCGGTCAGTCGGTCCTTAGGCCATGTGGATATGGCAGCCAGTGAACTGGCAACCGGTAAAATTTATCACTAGATAAGGTGTCTCATCGGGTAGAATGAGGGCTTAATGCAGCTTTTCTCATTGATATGTAATATGAGTTCCTTTAAAAATGAGGGCAATGCATTTCTACAACGCAGCCCATGTTGGAACTCGACAGACTTTTGTCATTCAAATACATGGCGAAGAGAAGCTACAATAATTGAGTATCATATAGATAAGACGGTAGTAGTAGCCTTATTCCTCGGAGAAAAACCTCGAGAATGGAGAAATAGACTTGCTGATATTTCGGCAACATGCCTTTATCGAAACAATGGTAGAAGCGAATTTAAAATTGCCTGCGGATGATCCTACTCGATTTTCTAGGCTTTTTTAAAATGCAAGTCACAGTTTTTACAGGACATCAACATTCCAGGGATTAAACAAAGAGCGATTGCCAGCCATTACCGCGATGCAGAGCATATCTAAGATTTATAATTCACGAAAATACGTGTATATGCAAACGAATTCAAGCAAACAGGCATCACGCATCACGCTTCATTCACACATGCAAGCGAGTTGAAGTAAACAAGCATCAAACATCCCGCATCAGTTGAACATGCAAGCGGTTTTAATTGATCAGGCATCGCACATCACGCGTCAGGCATCACTTACACATGTAAACGACTTGAAGCTAGCACACATAACATATAAGGGCACATATCACGTGCGCATATGTATCACATCGTGTAAATTGCAACATATTTACGGTCAGACGGTACGGTACGGTACGGTTTGTCAGATTGAATGCCGGACCGTTTCAAGTGTAAAACAAATAATTCGCCACTGTAGTAGTTAGCCGTGATGTTGACTCAAGGTTCTATAAAAGCAGTCACTCTTTCACTGGCTAAGTAGAATATTCTGAAAGAAACAAATATATAGCAATGGCAGCCTAATTCGGTTACAAATTTGACCAGAAATAGCAACTTATACAGTTCTGGTATTCCAGAGGAGGCATAACAAAACTCCATTGGCGCTGCTGGCAGCATAAGCATTTTAGTCGGTTTACCGCTTGCCACTGTCGCTGAATAGTTGCATCCAAGTGTCCACTACCCTGTCGTTTATGTAATCATGTTGCGTGAATTGCGTCTTGAGGTGGCCAACAAACAAACAAAAGCTTTGTTTTTATATCCCTGCAATGCCATTATATTCTAATTCGCGATGAGGAGTTCATAAAGATAAGTTAAGTGGGCATTACAATATGATTTAGCCCACCCGCGCCCAGGGAAGTTGACTTCCCTATCGTTTTTGGATCACAGGTCAAAAATGAACTCTAACAGCGACACAAAATTTGCAGCACCTGTTCATCTGTCAGTTTGGCAACTTTTGTTAAAGTTTCAAGTGTTGATCTGC